TAATCCTTTCTTACTCTCTCATTTGGCACGGATCCAAATGTTTCCATATTCACAATGTTGGCTATTTGAATTTGAATGCTACAGAATACCTGTCATTCATTCAATTGATTCGTTCAAATGGCTGATTCATTCCAAAGCAAAGCAAGTAACTGACTTAATGAATGGTTCACTGAATCATTGATTCCGAAAATTACATTTTAAAATCAGTCAGGGCTATAGAAATGCATCTTAATATTTACAAGTAAATCTCCATGTTATGCGTAGGCTACTTTCTATCTGACCCCCCTACATCAGAGGTCCTATAGCGTGCCATGTTTAGTGGGGGAGAATGAATGAGGGAAAGTCACATGAGAGGAGTCAATTGGTGCGTTCGACTTCATGCAGCACTGCGCAGATCGATCGCAATCTGACTTGAAGCAGTGCATGCCGGTTAGTAATTTTGTCCGACTTGAGAAGGCGCCGACGCCACGTCACTGTCATGTGTGGCATCAAAGCACCGCGAGAGCGTTTCGAGAGCAGCCGGCTAACTCAGCCGGCGCAGTTTCTTTTTTTAATTTTTTTTAATTTTTAAATTTTTATTTTTTAAATATTTATTATGAATGCAAACATCACAAAGATGACATTAAAGATATGCAACTTTGTATAGAGTACACAACATTTGTCAACAATATGTACAATGTCATCTGAACATACAGAACAAAAGAAAAAAAAGAAATAAATTGTTTATTTTGCCTTTGATACTTTAGAACATGTTTTTTTATTTCAAGCACTTAAAAAAATAGGCGTTGGTGATTATTTCTGTAAGATGGTTCAAATGTTATATGTAAATGGAAATAGTTCAATTAAACTAAAAAACGGTACTTCTCCCAGGTTTTCGCTAAATCGTGGTGTGCGTCAAGGATGCCCAGTGTCTCCTTATCTGTTCTTAATTGCAGTGCAATTTCTTAATTTACATATTAAAAGGAGTAACCTAAAAGGCATCACTGTTGGAAATGCAGAATTAATCATTAGTCAATTAGCTGATGACACAGCATTGTTTTTAGAAGACTCCTCTCAAATCTCAATAGCCTTAAATACTCTTCAGTCATTTTCTAAAGCTTCTGGTCTAAACCTTAATATTGATAAATGTGAATTATTTCCCATTAAAAGTTGTAATGTCTCTTCAATCTGTGGCATAGCTGTTAAAAGCAGCTGTTAAATATCTTGGTATAGAAATAACTAAAGAAAAAACATGTGCAACAAACTTTAATCCGATTATTGAAAAAACAAAGAAACAAATTAATTGCTGGCTTCAAAGGGATCTATCTATTAAAGGAAGAGTTTTGCTCACTAAGGCTGAGGGACTTTCACGCCTCTCTTATGCGGCCCAATCTCTTTATGTAGATAAGCCTACATGTAAATTGGTTGATAGAGCTCTAACAGATTTTGTCTGGAAAAACAAAAGCCATTATATGAAGAAGTCTGTTATTTTAAATTCTTACAACAAAGGTGGCTTAAATGTTATTGATTTTAGTTCTTTAAATTACACTTTCAAAATAAATTGGCTTCATCAATATTTGAATAATCAAAACTCCATCTGGAATATTTTCCCTCAAGCTTTTTATATATTGGAGGTATACGATTTTTACTGATGTGCAACTACAACTTATCAAAAATTCCTATCAAACTTTCAAATTTCCACCAATATTATCTCGATATCTCCTGCAATCTTTTACTGGAATAATTTATTTAAAAATTTTAAATGGAAAAAGATTTGGTCTTTACAACATAAATATTTACTCACCAATAAAGTAAAAGAAGTGTCTTTTAAAATAATAAATACATTTTACCCTGTTAAAAACCAATATTGATACAAGATGCTCATTTTGCCAAGTTCACACAGAAACTGTCTATCATTTATTTTGGTCATGTTTCTATACTGAACATCTATGGAAAGATATTGAAACATTTATTAAAGATAATATCCAACAAGATTTATCGGTTACTTTTTTGGACACTTTGATTCTGATTCTAATAAAAACAAAGCTTGTTTTGTTATAAATTTAATTTATTTTCTTGGCAAATTCTATATCCATAAGTGTAAATTTACCAACAACAAACCAATTTTTCTTGTTTTTTTGAAAGAATTTAAAATGTATCTTAATACTATTTCATCCTCTGTAAATCAGAAAGCGAGAAGAACAACTTCAATTTGTAATGACTTTAATTTGTATACTCTAATTGAAATATAAATTAATATCTTACCCTCATGTTTTTTTTCCAATTTTTCTTTTTTCTTTATCTTTTTCTTCTTTTGTTCTGTATGTTCAGATGACATTGTACATATTGTTGACAAATGTTGTGTACTCTATACAAAGTTGTATATCTTTAATGTCATCTTTGTGACGTTTGCATTCATAAAAAAAAAATAAATAAAAAAACTACATCGACGATGACCTACAGCCAATGAGAGACCAAGATAGAAGTTTGGGGAGGAGTTATAGACCAGAATATCAGTATTTTAATAGACATATGAACAATTATATCATGCAGAAACGTTTGCTTGACCAGCCACAACATCCGCATAACAGTTAATTATTTACCTCCATCTCTCTTTGTAGAGCACCCAATCCCTGTTCCCTGCATCTCCCTCCTACATAATCTGTTTTTCTTTTTCTCCTTGTAGCTGTAAATCAGCTCACAGACAATTTGCGGGCTATATATATATATTTTTAATAATTACAGTCTTGCTCGAGAACTCCGGTCTGACGCACGCAGGTTCTCGCGTTATTTCCTTATCACTTCTCGCGTGTGTTTTGTTGTGAAACGTAGTTTGCGGACCAGACAGAGCTGTCGGCGATTCTTCCTATTGTGAAGTCATGCAGTGTGAAACTATGGAGCCAGATCAGCCTCAAAAATAACACATTTGCAAAACAAAATTCATAAATGCACAGCACAATTTACAATTTACAAAATCCGATTCGTAAATTCAAAACACAATTCATAAATACACAAGTAAAAGCATAAATATTTCCCCAAATGCTCACACAAATGCATCTTACCTAAATAAATTTAAAATGTTTACACAAATATGTTTCTATCACAAAATTTCTTGAATTAATTTCCATCACACATTTATGAATAATGGTACATGTATTTATGGATCGTTGAATCTGCATTTGCAAGTCATCACACATGCGTGGACTGCTTTGAATTTGTGTGTGGTATTTTTGAGACCTTCCTGGCAGGTTAAGATTCATAAATATATTTTTTTGGAGGATGTTCCGTTCAGCCAATCGCGGTGAGCTTTTAATCCACCAATCAAAACGCTCTTTACTGAACAGACTCAAGAAGCTCAAGCTGCGCTTGAACTGTGCATTGTTCCATGATCGGGTCCTTGATATAAAGACATTTTAGTGGGCAGTGTTGGGCAAGTTACTCTGAAAATGTAATTAAATTACTGATTACTGATTACTCCTTTTAAAAGTATTTTAGTTAAGTACTTTATTTCAAAAGTAATTAGTAATTAGTTACATTACTAGTTACTGTTACTTTATTCTCTATTACATTTATGAAATCCCAGCATACACACTCCCGATAAGTATTCGTTATTAAAGCATCAACATTCACAGAACACTTGTTATTTTTAGCTAAAGCAAGCGGCTGCTGCATGCATGGTTTGGTATTGTAATGGCAGTGAGCGCTAGCAGCCAGGTGCATTATGGGTATGTTTAGAGTTGATTTATGTGTTAATTAAGAAGATGGTTGAGTTTTTGCGTTAGCAATGTTATTTGTGTTTATGTTCAAGTTAGTTCGGGTGGGTTTGGTTCATTTACTGCCTTGTTATAAAAAGTGTGGTTGTCACCGTCATGGAGAGAGATGTGTAGGGGAGGCACTTGGCGATATGGCCTTACTTGTGTTTGTTCTTATTCAGTATGTAGAATTAAAAGAGAAAGATGATGGTATTGCTCCCTGCTGGAATGCTCTGTGTGTGTGCTCCAGTTCACAGATACACTCTGGGTTTTGCGGTGTATAGGACGCAAATATTCACACTCTCCAGTAATCAAAATTTAAAGTCTGTAAGTGTAGATCGATATAGTATACTCTATAATTACTATTTTGAAAATTATAACGCATTAAATTACTCCACAGATTATGTAGGAGGGAGATGCAGGGAACAGGGATTGGGTGCTCTACAAAGAGAGTTGGAGGTAAATAATTAACTGTTATGCTGATGTTGTGACTGGTCAAGCAAATGTTTCTGTATGATATAATTGTTCATATCTATTAAAATACTGATAACTCCTCCCCGAACTTCTATCTTGGTCTCTCATTGGCTGTAGGTCATCGTCAATGTAGTTTTTTTTCCCAATCGGTAACGATGCCCTTTAGAACAGTATTCTGAATGATGTTAAAAATAGGGTGCCCCTGATAGCCTAACACTCAACTAGGTTAATAAAGACAAAACTCTTTAGCGTATTTACAGATGAAGCTGACCTGCACCTGAAGGCCTGAACAGGCATTTTTGCTACATTTCGCTGCTTCCTCTCCTTCATCGAGTCCTGCGCATCGACTCTGTTCGAAGCCGTCGTTTGAAGAGCGGAACATGTGTGCCGATTCGTATAGCTGCCAGCCAAGACTGACCGATTTATGATTTATTATCGTATGACAAAACCGGAAATTATCAATTTGGTAAATTGAGAAGACAAAAATATAAAATAATAATAACAACAAAACAAACAAAAAAAAAAACAGGGCAGCGGGTCAATTCAGCCTCCAGGCCACCGGGAATTCGCCCGGTGCTTCTGATGGCCAATCCGGGCCTGGTACTGACCTAAATAAGCTATTTCACATAACAGATGTATACTCTTATAATTTTTTCTTGTGGAGTATATAATAAATTTATAAAAATGACCACATTCAAAAGTTTACATACCCTTGAATCTTGTGTCTATAATGGAATCTATAATGTCATGTGGGTGTATATACACAAAACTGTACTTCCGTCGCGTACAGCAACGTCACTGTGAATCATTGTCATCGCAATGCCTCAACTTCCTGTTTTCGATCCACACACTCTTAAGTGAATAATGGCTGAATTAAACCGACAGCTCCAGGAATATTTGGCTCAGTCTAAAAGCGGCGCGAAGACGATATCACAGTCCAGTTCCAGCACTGCAATAGACATCGATGAACCCACTTCGGTGCCGGGGACCTGGTTCGGCAGGTGGTCGAGTCCGTTCTCTGGATCCAGTAGCCGTGGAGCGTCATCAGGCCAAGGATCGAGCAGCGGCTTCTCGTGGCCGTGGTCATCAGAGCCTGACCCGTGTTTGCCCGGCATGAGTCGATCTCAGCGACTGATCGCGTTCGGAACGTGTATTTTCTTCTCTGCTCTGTGCTTTGGACTGTCTGCACTTTACGCACCTTTACTCCTACTGAAGGCGCGTAAGTTCGCTCTGCTGTGGTCGCTTGGATCCGTGTTCGCGCTCCTCGGGGCGGCGGTCCTCCGCGGACCCAGTAAACTCATTGCAACTCCCACACCGGGAGCCGCGGTGTACCTGTGCTCTCTGGTGGGCACTCTGTATGCGGCGCTGAACCTTCACAGCACGCTGCTCACAGCTATTGGAGCCTGTCTTCAAATCGCTGCTATTGTGGGTTACATCGTGGCTTTGTTGCCGGGTGGGAGTGCCGGGATGAGGTTTGTGGGTGGCATGGCAGCGTCTGCTATTAGAAGAACTGTGACCGGTAAGGCCATGCCTATATGATCAGGCATTTCACGGACTGGGCAACAGACTTTTTTTTTTTATCATGGAAGATACTCGGTTTTCGCACCTTTTTTTTTTTTTTTGAGTGACTGGTCTGGTAACGTTACTGCCATGTTTGATTGTGAAATTCTGGCAGTAGCCTATACTGAGTTCAGCGTGAACAGCATTCTGTGGATGGGGATATCTAAATGTTTTGTGACTTGCACTGTGACAGGGACCATATGTATGACCAAGATATCAAATACTACTTACCGTTTAATGTTTCTGAACCGCTCTTGAAACTTTTTGCAAATAAACCTAATAAACAGCTTACTTTGTGTTCTCTTCTTCAAGCCATTTGGTCTGAATAAAGAGAAGCCATTTATTTAAGGACAGCTCACTTCTGCATCATATATGGTGGTCATAAATGTATAGCATCTCTATCCTGTTCTTTGAGTGTCTCCCATGACACGCAGAAGGCTATAGGCTGGTTCTGGAGCCTTCACTAATTTGCTGACAAGTTAAATCAGGCATGTAAAACGAGAGACATACAAAGTGCAGTGCTGATGTATTCCTGGACCAGAGCAAAGGCGTAAACACATTCTCAGTAGTTTTGTCAAATCCAGCCATTTAAGCTACTTGTTTTGAAACACTGCAAATAAACATAAAACTAGCACATTGTGAAAATGCGGGGGGTTTTTTTGGTGTGGGCAGAACTACCCTATACCATAATGCAAAAATAGAAACCAAAAACTAGTGCCATTTGACATGGTTGGCTAAGAGAAAAATCACAGAAGAGATAGCTTTAGAGATTGTTACTTTATGTAAAATCAGGTCAAGACAGTGTTTAAAGCAGGGCTGCTGTGTTCTCCTGGTGATCTACCTTCCTGCCAAGTTTAGATCCAACTCTAAACAGCACTCTTGAATCAATCAAGTTAGGAAATTAAAAATTTGTGTTATTACAGGGCTGGAATTAAAGGGCATTTTTCTGCTCCATTTTTCACTCCACTGACTGGAGTGAACTGATTTTTCACTCCACTGACCAGTCATACACATGCGATTGTGGGAGACTGGAATTGCGAGTTAACATAGTATTGAGTTCCACTGCTTATAAAAATGTAAATGTTGTGAATTCCTTGCGAATTCACAATGAGAACACGTGAGCAATAGAGAATCTCAGGCTTGTGTGACCACACTTCTAGAGGAAAGCAGAAAAGAAAGGTAGATCTCCAGAATCTGGACCGACGCTGCTGCCTTCAAGAATTGTCATCAGTGTCAGAAAAAACACTATGGAGTGGGTGAAAGAAATGACAAGAGCAGGGAGAGTTTACATACATTTTGCACAGTCTATTATGGTTTCATACAAAAAAGGACAAAACAATATGACAAATTTTGTGACAAACTGTACACACAGAAACAAAGTCTGCAACTTTGTCACTCAAAGTAGCCTGGTAAGGTTACAGAAAGATTATATCCATTATTTTACATAAAAATGAAATTAAATAAACAGCGCTGAGACACTGGGGGAATGAAACATTCAAGAGTCAACTTTTCTCTAGTAATAGACATAGTCCACAAGATAATACCAGTTGCAAAATTGGCCCTTATCTAGATTGACTTGCATTTGTGCTGGATGACAGAATCTGACTGAGGAAATCAATGGTACACAAAACATTTTGTGTTTTATACATCAGAAGCATTAAAGCCCCCCCAAAAAAGAAGGGGCTCAGGTGCTGGTTCAAATTCAGCTGCCACTGTCCAAGTGAATCACAAAGCAGGTCAGCTGCTCAGTGCAGGGAAGTGATGTCTGTTAAGATTTTACAGAGTCGTACCATGCATCACAAATAAAATTTCCTGGACCACAATCAGTCCATTACAAAAGATATTACTCACTGCACTACGATGAGCCCCCCTCTTACATCAGTTATTCTTCTCAGTGCTGATGTAAGGTTAGAACAACTCCATGTACCATGTGTACACCAAGCAGGTAGCAAGGGGCATCGTAAGCCAAAACATCTGGCCCTGGATAACTGGTATCACCACCTTCCATCCAATACATCATAGAGAAAAAGCTAAACCTTAGCCTCCAATCAGGGTTCCATGCTTATTTTACTGAAGTGCTTCCAGACATCTGTCCAAGCCAGCATAATTGTTCAGACCGTCAAGGAAGCTGGTATTGTAGCCATGTGTGGTTCTTTGTTTACCCTGTCTTCACTGTAGTCAGTTTTACCCCATTGTGCCCAGAAAAGCAGGTGTGACTATTTCTACCGTCCGCGACCTCCCCTCATAACACCACGTGGAGCCCCTCGCCTGGTATTTGGACCCACATTAGGACCAGGACCACCTGGGTTGGGCGGCCCACCACGGCCCCAACCACCTCTTCCTCCCCGTGATGGAGGCCCATACCCACCTTCGTCTCTTGGTGATGGTCGACCTATGGTGAGTTAGATAATAATAGTATGCAAAATGCCTTATGTATTTTACATTAAACTAGGGATGCACGATATTGTATTATTGCCGATATGCCGATATTTTTCAACTCATTTTGGCCGATACGGATTTATTTCCTTTTGTTTGGAAACAACACCAAGACTCTCCTGTGCAGAAATTATAATCAAAATATTTTTAATTTTGGTTACTTTTCTAACTTATTTGTTAGAATTAAATAAACAATAATAAAAGGTTTTTGACAGCACATTGAAGCTTTGAAAATAACTACAAATAAACTATTTAACAATCGCTGCATTTTTTCCCCCAGAAAGATGCGGTGTTCACCCAAACATTTTATTTTAAGATTTAACATTTGTAGATGGTCTAAAGCAAAAGAGTTGTAAAAATTCAGAAAATCTTTTAGAGCTTATGATTTGTTTAAAAAAAACAAACATTACACATTAATGAATAAATCAGTATATATAAAATTATTTAATTTACAAGTGTCATGTTTGTGATTTTTTTCCATGTAAGCTATAGCTTCTGACCTTTAAATCAAAACATACTCATTTTTTATGACATCAATTACTGCTTTATTTAATCAGAAACACAGTCTAAATGTTATTTGTGTAGGCTATTTTACTTTTAATTTAATTAGAAGTAGGCCAACATCGCCCCTACAGATTAAAACTCCTTACAGAACGCGCATTAGTACCCAGGGGAGGCTGTTGCTGCTGCCACGGCATGTGCTATTACTGTTTACTCTATCATACACCTAAGGTGTCATTCTGTATGTGCTTTCTCAGTTTAAATGCAGCGATCCAACACAGTGAATCCAATCACTATTCAGGCAAAACTTTGCTTCAAGAATGAGCCACACTGCTGATGTGATCTAATCGCTAGCACACCCAGAGCACATTTGAGTTAACGTATTCCTCTTATCGGTAAGACATATCGGCATAATTTTTCATATCGGGCCAATGCTGATATTTAAATTTAAAGCCATTATCAGCCGATTTCTATATCAGTCGATAATATCGTGCATCCCTAATTAAAACAAATCATTGTCACTTATCCATCCCTCACCTGCTCCTCTGTCATCAGGCCCTGCACCAGGGGAGTCCATGTCACCAGTGCCTGGTCCGTCATGCCATGGCCGTTTGCGTGGTGGCAGCGAGGCCATATCCATGCCCTGTAGAGAGGAGGAACGCTCTCTACTGGCTGGTGAAGGACTGTCATGCATATTGTGGTCTGGCTGCTGACCATCCCGATAACTCTCATGACCTGAACACACATGCACACCAGCATAATTTGTTTTGGATCCTTGATGTTAAGCTTCAACTATGCAACAATTTTACATAATGCTTATGCCAAGTGTATGCTACACGACTAAGGAAAAAAACAATACCCAAACTGCTTTACTTTTATACAACATTCGTTGTCTTGATGAGGCACAGGTGGACACACTATATCAGGGGTGTCAAACTCAGTTCCTGGAGGGCTGCAGCCCTGCAGAGTTTAGTTCCAACCCTGCTCCAACACACAAACCATGTAGTTTTCAAATAAGCCTGAAGGATTTGATTAGGTAGATCAGGGGCATTTAATTAGAGTTGAATCTAAACTCTGCAGGGCTGTGCCCTCCAGGAAATGGGTTTGACACCTGTGCACTATATCAAGTGTCGACAATGTACACTCAAATTTACACATAAATCAGATCCTTAATATGTAGTGTAAAACATTTTCTCATGAAAACATCCAAAAAAAGTGACAAAATCTATTTAAAGGGGTCCTATTATGCCCTAGAACAGGCTCTCATACTAGCGCCACTCTTCGTGTGAAATTGAATAACTATATGAAGTGGTATAAATATATACATTTTCTGCCATCATGTCTTGAATTTGTGATCATTCTAAATGCATTTTATTAGACTGAATCATGCAGTGAAAGAACGCACTCTAAATGCGCACACGCACTAGTCTAGACTTCACGTAATGTATGCGTGCGCTCTGCAGGGATGTTTTGAATGGTTTTTGCAAAATACTCGATAATGTCAAATCGCACATCGTTAAAACAACAATTACAATATTATTGCAGACGATTTATATCGCACACCCCTACTCTCTCACCAGTCTGGCATGAACGACTCGAATAGTTCCTGTATCAAATGAAGGCCCATCTTCTGAAATACGAAATGTGTTGTGATTGGTTAGCTGGGCCAGTGTGTGTCGTGACTGGCACCACTCAGCGCCTGGTCGAGAAATGTCATGCCCCTTACCATAGCCGCCTGAGAGCTTCAGTGTAAATATAGCATCAAAATCAAATACATTTAAGTGCGAATTAAACCCGGATGATTGTAACCACTCTAAATTCGTCTGCTTTGGGAAAGCTAGCGTGTCTCTGACATAGTGATAACACTCGTTGCCTTCTCTAGTGCAGCTCAACTAGGTCTCATCCCATTCGTCGATATTTGTGATATCACAAATCCCGGAAAATATGCGTTGTAGTCCAAACGAGTCGTTCGTTGTAGTTTTTGAAAAGTGATTTCTGTTAAATAAAATACCTTCTTTTTGAAGTGGACTTTGAACTTTGTAACTTTGCAGATCTTTTTTATGCTCAAACAGCAACATTACAGATTAACTAAAGTTGAATAAGTGAAAAAGCATAATAGGACCCTTTTAAAGGGTTATTTCACCCAAAAATGAAAATTAGCCTGTGTTCTACTCATCCTCAAAGCATCCTAAAGTGCACGCATCCATAATAAAACGTCCCTCATACGGTTCCGAGGGGTGAATAAAGGCCTCCTGTAGCGAATCCATGCGTTTTTGTAAGATAAATATCCATATTTCAAACGTAATAAACACTTTTTTCTCACTTCCGCTGACTGTGGTACATGGAATTAGTGCAGGCGGATGACGTAGGAGATATGCAGGAGCAAAGGAAAACAAAGTTTCCTTACTTTAGCAAAGGAAAACCAGTCTCTTCTTGGCTTATATCAAAATCCTCCGACATTTTACTTTACAAATCCTCGTTTTGTTCTTCTAAATCGTGACTGGAGTTTTGTTTTGTTTTGTCTCCACGTTCATCACTAATCACGCAACGCCGACGTTCTACGTCATCCGCCGGAATGGCTTCCACATTCCACAGTCAGCGGAAGTGAGAAAAAAAGCGTTTAATACGTTTGAAATATGGATATTTATCTTACAAAAACGCATGGATTCGGTACAGGAGGCCTTTATTCACCCCCCGGAGCTGTGTGAGGGATGTTTTATAATGAATGCACGCACTTTATTTCACGTCTTCTGAACTGTTGACAACAAACACCCGCTTACCCCCATTGAAAGGCTTGGAGGGGCCAGGACAATTTTTAATATAACTCTGATTGGATTCGTCTGAAAGAAGAAAGTCACATGGCACCTAGGATGTTTGAGGGTGAGTAAAACAGAGGCTAATTTTAATTTTGGGTGAACTAACCCTTTAAGTGGTTGCCACAATAGCCGTCTTAGGCTCCATTTGTTTGAAGTTTTGATTTGTGCTGATAAATGGAAGCTAAAGTGACAAATGAAAATGGAGCAATACAATGTTTAAGACAGACATGGGCAACAAGGGCTTTCTGTTCTTTATAAAGAAATCTAAGTTAGGTTAAAGGATACTCACAAACTAAATCCTGATATCGTCTACATCTCATTTAACTAATAATACTTAATGTTCTACTAAAATTGTATGTATTACTTTATGTTTTAAACAGAGATCCCATGGTTTCCTGTCACCTTCTCATTGGTAATTTCTTGCCACTGCTCTCTACATTGCTTTTGTTTCTGAGGCAAGTCATAGAACATGTTGTAATGCTCATACCTAACAAGCTTGTTTTCCAATTTGGCTTTGATAATTTTTTTTGTTGCTGTTGCAGATCTAAAAAATTGTCTATGACTGTAAAATATGGGCTAAAACCATGTAGTCTGCACTCAGCTTTATGGCCTCAGTGAAAGAATAGGAATTAGATCAAGCATGTCTAACTGCACTGCAACAACCAGAACAGTTATTGGCATCCCCTTTATGCACTTCTACCTGAATCTCGCCCTCCCTCCCAGCCCTCCTGGTTTCTTCCTCCTTCATAGTGACAGGGATAATCATCAGGAGTTGGGAGTAGCCCCTTTCTTCCTACACCACCTAAGAAAGATGTCATGTTCAAACCTGACACCTCAGTTTTAATGGACGCAAGGTGAGCTGATAGACAGGTGAATGGAAAAGGTTTTACCTCCTCTTGGTGGCCCACCACG